TCTCAGCCATTTGAGATTCTTCTGTTGAGAATTCTCTGTTTAGATCTGTACTCCATTTTTCAATTGGATTATTTGGTATTCTGATGTCTAGTTTCTTGGAAATCAGCCCTCTGTCAGATGTGGGGTTGGTGAAGATCTTTTCTCATTCTATAGACTGCCATTTTGTCTTACTGATGGTGTCCTTTGCCTTACAGAAGCTTCAGGGTTAGGAAAAAATGTGATGCCAGGGAAACTCCCAGAAATCCACAAGGGTGACCCCTTGTGCCTGAACTGGCCTTCTACTGTAATCAGATTGGTGACTACCCTAATTGTCATCAGAGGACCTTTATCCAGTAGCGGATGGAAGCAGATGCAGAGATCCACAGCCAAGCACTGGGCAGAGCTCTGGGAGTCCTCTTGAAGAAAGGGAGCAGGGATTGTATGAGTGTGTGTGTATGGGGGGGGGGGGGGCGCGTGTCAAGGTCATGACAGGGGAACCCACAGAGACAGCTGACTTGAGATAATGGGAGCACATGGACTCTGGACCAATAGTTAGGGCGCCTGCATGGGACTGACCTAGGCCCTCTGCATGTCATGTGTGTGACAGCTGTGTAGCTTGCTATGTTTGTAAGGCTCAGATCATTAAGATCAGGACCTGTCCCTGGCACTTAGCTGGCTTTTGAGAACCTGTTCCGCATGCTGGATTGCCTCGCCCAACCTTAATGTAACAGGAAGAGCTAGGTCCTTCCTCAACTTGATGTGCCATGCTTTGTTCAAGCCCACAGGAAACCTGCCCCTTTCTGAATGGAGAAGGAGAGAATGGGGAGGGAGGTAGATGAGAGTCGGGATGGGAGGAGTTCAGGGAGAGAATGGGAAGAGAGGGGAGAGGGGAAACTGTGGTCAGTATGTAAAATAAATGAAAAAAAGGAATAAAATAGAATAAAATTGAAAAATAGAATGTTGTAAAGCAATCTCATTGTTAATCAAGTTTCTAAAATTATAAATATTATAATATTTAATGCAGTAGCATATTAAAAAGTGGTATAACTTAAGTGAGTGATTGCTAATAACTGCTTTTGGCCACCACAGAGTTCATATGCCAAGGATGCTTCCTTCACTGGTGCTTTTTATTGAAAAAGTGATTTTTTTTTTTTTTGGTTTTTTGAGACAGGGTTTCTCTGTGTAGCCTTGTGCCTTTCCTGGAACTTACTCTGTAACCCAGGCTGGCCTCAAACTCACAGAGATCCACCTGGCTCTGCCTCCTGAGTGCTTGGATTAAAAGCATGAGCCACCACCATCTGGCAAAAGTGGGTAGTTTTGTATCCCAGAAATACCAAGGACTGAAAACTGAACGTTAGCCATTTCTGCTCTGAAATAGTCCCTGAGTCCTTTCTGTTTCCCACTTTGGAAGATTCTGCCAGGGTATAATTCTGAAGTTTCTATTCTTGGCCCACAGGCCATTATCCTCCTGGCTTTATACTCTGGTTTTTTTGGCTCTTTCCCTTCGACAATCAGCAGGCTGGCTTTTGCTTTTTTTGTGATTTTTTTTTTTTACCTTATTTTCTCAGGATCCACTTTTTTTTTTTTTTACCTAAAGTAGCTAATTTTTGCTTTCTAACACAAATTTTGGGACTATCTACTTAAAGATAATGAATTTTTAGTCCAACAACGGATATTTAGAAAAGTCTGTGAAAATATAATTTTCTTTCACACTGATTCAAAACAAATAGAAAGAAAATTGATCAGATTGTTAGTTTAATATTAGTAAATTTTCCTCCTGTAAGTCCATGAAATTGGCTCAAAACTAATATTGCATTAGACAATGTGTCTAAAAATCTGCAGATCCAATGACAAGTATAACTATGCTTGTAAACTGTCTTCTTCCTTTTATAACCAGTCGGCTGGGCTGCTGCATTCTGCAAATGAACTAAACTATGACCTTGGAGGTGAGAGATTAAAAAATTAGGGTCTGTGTATGCTTGCTGCTTTCCATAAAAGAACACAGAAACAAAGGCCTGTTTGCTCCAATTCTTTTTTTAAAAAAAATCTACCCTACAATGATATGTGTTGCTGTAGATTGTTGGATGTCAGTTTACACTTTGAGGAAGCAAATTAAATTCTAGTTGGAAATTCCTTCCGAGGGAACATGCTGCTACTGCCACCTGGGGGAAGCTCTTTTCTGCTTCATCTAAGACAAGTAATGTTCTCACAAAGGATAGAGCCCATTCACATCTTCCTTGTCAGATCTACACAGGAAGAAGTTCCAGCTGTCTCCAGATTCCCTTCACAAAAGAACTACTCAATAGACTTCTTGAGAGCTGTAAGAGAGGACCAGAATGTAATCACAATGAGGCTTCTATATCTTCTATGCAACATGAAAAAGTTTGGGGAAGTATGGGCTATATACTAAGAAGTGGAGAAAGTCAAATTTGAGCTTTTAATATCAAAACAAAACTAATTTTAAAGAAAAATTACTTAATGGTAACTTACACTTAACTGTGCACCTTAAATATGTCATCATAGTTAGTGATGGTTATTTGATTATGAAAATTGCATGTCCTCAAAAAAAGCACACAGGAGATTTTAACAGGTTAAGATGATGATGATGCATTTCAAGTATATGGAAATAAACTAGAGAATTTTTCTCATAAAATTTTGAATTTGTCAATTAAATACTGTTATACACTCTGTAACTATTACACACATATGTTTATTGACATTTTTCATGAAGTAGTGATGTAGCATTTATCAATTAAAATGGAAAACTTATAACTTTGACCAAGAATGTTTCATACTTTTGCTGTAGGAACCTTGTTATTTATTAGAAACACAATCAAAGAGTCTAATTCTGAAAACAAGTTTCAGGAAGTATCTATTAAAATTATAAGCCTGTCAAGTAACGTCAGTAGCGATTAGAAGACGACAGCTAATCACTTATAAAGAGGATGTCTGGTAACAGATTAACTAAGCAAAATAATGCAGTATCAGTCCCCTGCTGGTACCACGCAGTCAGGAGACTAAAGTTCATTTCAAAGACTACACTCTAACAGTTCCAAGGAAGTCTGTGAAGAATAGGTTTCCAAGACAGCAAAAGGTAAGTGGCACACGGCTGGTTTTAAAATCTGTTAGATCTGTGATTCTGGACTAGACAGCAATGAATGGAACTCAGTGTAGGTGACACACTGAAATGAGCTGCACGAGCTGAGATATACTTGAGGGGCACTGGAACCAGTGACATTTTGTTCAACTGTGTGGTTCCTTGAAGGTATTTGTGATAAGATCTGGAAATACCAGGGTGAGGGACCTTAAAGAACAAGTAGGCTACTTAACACCATAAAATAGAATTGTAGATCACAAGCAAAATAATCTATTACATGTTGAAGTGTCTTTATGATTCAGCAAATTGAGATCAACTGACAGTGTGCCAGTAGTTTTCCTCATCAATCAATGAAAGTGACCAATGACCTTAAAATGCTCTAAGGCTTATGCAGTGCGTGAGAACTGACACCATACCATACAGGTTCTTTAAATGGAAGTTCTTCTGCTTCCTAAATGAACTGCAGAGTTTTGTCAAAGAGTCCACACTTCCCAGTGATCAGCCATGCAATGACTTGTTTCCTAACAGAAATTACAAGTAGCTCTTCTCTCAGATTGTTTCCTGGTGGTAAAACAATGTTTCATAAGGAGAAGCAACAGCCGTCTTTGACAGCATTTATGTTTCCCAGGAGAAAAGCATTCCGGAAGCAGGGAAGAGGGAGTTTCCCAGTTGACACTTGTACATTCAGGGAGTGAGGAGATGGGCAAGTGGTGGACACCATTAAAATGTCGAACAGGCAATTCTCTTTCGAGAAACACATACTCATGCCCTTAGGTTGGCCTTACTTTGTTCATAAGTATCTCTCTTTCTCTTACTACTTTAAAACTGTGGGCTTTAAAACTATATTAGAATCACTTTTAATTCTAAGTCTGAATTTTAAAAATTAAATAATACAGCACTGAATGGAGCTGGACATGGTGGCTCATACCTGTAATCCCTGCACTCCGGGCAGACGAATTCAGGTGAATAGCCACAAGTTTGAGATCAGTCAAACTACATAGTAGTTCCAGACAAGCCTGTCAACCTGAGCTATAGAGTGAGACTCCTGTTTCAAAGGGGAAGGGGGTGCTGGAGAGATAGTTCCATGGCTAAGAGAACTGACTGTTCTTCCAGAGGACCACGGTTTGAGTCCCAGCACCCATATTGAGTGGCTCATAACCATTCTTAATTTCAGTTCCAAAGGATCCAACACCCATCTTCTGGTCTCTGTAGGCAACAGGCATGCATGTGATACACATACATGTATATAGGCGAAACACTTATACATATAAAAATAAATAAATTGAAAAGAAAATTTAAGGAAAGAGAAAAGATAGTCAAAAGGGCTTTTTCTTCCACCATTGTGTTTCTTTCTACTTTTTCAACAGGGAGTGAATTTTAAATCTTCTCCATGGGTTCCTGAACTCAGTGATCTCAATCCCAAAGTCTCTCTTCCACCACACTGAGGCATCAAAATGTTTTTCCTAAATGAGTTTATTTTCATGGGATTTGGCTTCTCCCTCTTTTTCCTGCTGTCATCCCTTCCTTAGACATTCCTTACTTCTATTTAGTTTTTCTCTATTTTCCCACTGTTACTTACTATTGTCCCCATCCCCACTGTCTGTGTGGCGCCTGTAATGGAGCACATGGACCTACTTAGGTCACTACAAAGGAGGAGGAAGCACATCACAGGCAGAACAGGAAGCTCTCCATCCATGGATGCTGCATCTGTAGATTCACTCAGCCACAGGCTGAAAATATTCAGAAAAAAAAAAGTCTGTATTGGCCATGTAGAGGCCCTCTTTTTTCTTATCATTGTTCCCCCAAACAATATAGTAAGACAGTACTTACACTGCACTGTTCGAATTATACTAAGTGAATCTAGGTATCACTTAGAGTATTATAAAGGGTGCTAAGCACAGGTTATATGAATACTACATCATTTTAGATAAGCAACTTGAGAATGAGGAGGTTTGGTGAACACTGAGGCAGTGAGTCATTTCCCCCAGACACTGAGGGACAACTGTACACAGAGTATCCCAAGCCAGGTCAGAGGCTACATATTGGGCAAGTATAGATACCTGACTCTCTTTGTGGTACCTTTATTTACCCACAGCTATGACAGACACCAACAAGATGACCATCAATTTGGCTGTCTTTGGCAGGACTCAGAGCGGAAAAAGTTCTGCAGGGAATACTCTTTTGGGAAGTGCTGACTTCTACAGCAGTTTCTCTCCAGGCTCTGTAACCGAAGACTGCCACCTGGGCCGCAGCTGTCACCTCCACAGCTTCATGCGTCGAGGAGGGCAAGAAGTAACCCTGCAGATACGGGTATTGGACACTCCAGGGTATCCACACAGCAAGCTGAACATGAGACATGTGAAGCAGGAAGTCAAGAAGGCCCTGGCACATCACTTTGGACAAGAGGGTCTCCATCTTGCTCTGCTCGTCCAGAGAGCGGATGTGCCTTTCTTCAGACAGGAAGCACCTAACCCAGTTCAGTTGATCCAGGTAATACAAAGGAGCATTATGCTGGCATCGTTATTGATTCAGGTACTATAAAGATGCAATTATATTGGCACCATTATTCCCACCTGGAGGGGGGGCATTATCTGCATAGGCAAGGCCCAGGAACAAACTGGCTCAAAAGATACTTGAGCTACAAAGTGCAAGCCCTGTAACAATAGTCAGTAAAAACTGACTTGATTTTCTACTGGTTCTATTTTGTAATTTCCTTTAGAGTCATGGTTCTCAACTTTCCTAATGCTGCGACCCTTTAATACAGTTCCTCATGTGTGACTCCCAACCATAAAATTATTTTATTGCTACTTCGTAGCTGTAATTTTGCTACTGTTATGAATTGTGATGCAAATATCTGATACACTGGATGCCTGACAAGAGGCACCAAGGGGTCACAAGCCACAAATTGAGAACCACTGTTTTGGATCATAGACAGAAATTTTTAGACACTAATTTCCAGAAGGTAAGCTTTAAATCCTTAAGAACCTTGACCTTGAGTAAGTTTGTACAAGGTAACCCTTGGACTATCTGCACCAGAATCAGCTGGGCAACTTGTTGAAAACACAGATTCACCCATGACTATTGAAATAGCGTCTCAAGAGTGAGACTTGCAGGTCTGCATTTCCATGTTGTTATATAGGTTTATTAAAACAAGGTGGGTTCAAAGCTACCAACTGAATACCCACACACCATGCAACATCAAGGGGGACAGTTTGCTATAATTCATCAACAAATGCAATTTTTTTTGTTTTGTTTTGTTTTGTTTTTTGAGACAGGGTTTCTCTGTGTAGCTTTGCGCCTCTCCTGGAACTCACTTGGTAGCCCAGGCTGGCCTGGAACTCACAGAGATCCGCCTGGCTCTGCCTCCCGAGTGCTGGGATTAAAGGCGTGCGCCACCACCGCCCGGCTAACAAATGCATTTTTACCCACTGATGGTGCTGAGTACTTGTAGGGACAGGAGACCCGATTACATAAAGCTTGTAATCTAGAAGAGGCAAATAAATGTCAGAAATGACAATGGTGTTAACTCCAAAGTAGTGTAATATGTAAGAGGAGTTATGCAAGACTTAGCATCAAAGTAAATGCTGCAGGAAGACCATGCATAATGTAGGACAGTACTTATATTGTACTGTTAGAATTATACTAAGTATAATTTAGATATCATTTAGAGTATTATAAAGGTACTAAGCTTAGGTTATATGAATACTACACCATTTTATATAAGTAACCTGAGAATGAACAGGTTTTGCTAAATGCTGGGGCAGTGAGTCATTCTCCCACAGACACTGAGGGACAACTGTACACAGAATATCCCAGGCCAGGTCAGAGACTATACATAGATACCTAACTCTCTTGTGGTGCCTTTGTTTACTCACAGCTATGACAGATGTTCAGATGAAGGACTTTCCTACACAGAATATCCCAGGCCAGGTCAGAGACTATACATAGATACCTAACTCTCTTGTGGTGCCTTTGTTTACTCACAGCTATGACAGATGTTCAGATGAAGGACTTTCCCCCTTTAACAGGAAATGACAAAAGATTGATCCAAATGGCAGATACACGATGTGTAAATACAAGAAAGAAATCTGCAGTTTCCCATGTTTTCCTGCCACAGCAGCAATAGAAAATTCTCCATTCCAGTCATAAACTACAAAGACTTTAGACATAACCTAAATAATACATGCTGCATCTATTTATACTCATTTATTTGTTCATTTATCATTAGTTACTAAGTCCGGAGCTTTATTTATTAGACAGTCCAGCAAAGGAGCTAGGTAAAGAGAAGGGCTTTGAAGGAATAGAGTGTATATATGAATACTACAAGAAATAGTGTAGGGAAAAGGCCTATATATACTTACAAGTCCTAGAAATTATTCATTGACCTGCTCCATTCTGGCCCAGCTCTTGATTCTCTAGAGAGGGTTCCCTCAAATTTAACTGCTGAGCCTGGCTAGTTGGGACTGCCCTAGGCACTGTGTTCAGATAAAGAACTTTTCCCCTTTAGCTAACATTTAAGACAAAAGATTGACCCAAACAGCAGACACACATTTTGTTTCTCGGTGGTTATGCGTGTTTGTAAAGCTTGGGGGAAATCCATGTGTGTAATTACAAGAAAGCAGTAGCGGAAACCTTAGAGTGACAAGAGCAAACCATTCACCTTCCAACTCCTGAAGATTCAAGGCATGTTGTCAACAGTAAACAAGATGTTGTTTACAATATGAAATCTAAGGCAATGACACAGCTCCCCACCCCACACTATGAAAACCTGTATTTCAAAGCATTTCTGGTAGGAATCAAGTAGCAGGAAACCAGCACCCAAACATCAGGATAATTTTAAGAACAGATTTAATATCCACTTAAGGCTGCTTTATATAAGTTCAGTAAATTCACAAACAACTACTTCTCAAAAGCCATCTTGGTTCTCTCCATATATATCATATTCTTCCCTGTGATACACTATGCTGAGGCCAAAAGGATTATACATTTTGAAAACAGATTCTTCCAGTGCTAGTATACAGAACATTATAATCCACTGTTTTGCTACAAGGCAATTTAACTCACCCTGTCTCTTTTGAAATGGGACCTGCATAACTTTCTCCAAAAACTGTCTTCCTTAAGTCATTGTCTATGTCAGGAGTTGAAGACGAATAAGAGATGGGTGTGAACAAAGTTCAGATCCTATTTTGTTTTGTTTTCTAGGATAAATAATTTCTCTTTTTTTCTGAATATCAGCTTGGGGTCCCTCTTGCTCTTCCAGTGATGGTCTCTGAGGCCCAGATGAATGCTTACGACTTTCTTCCTCAAGGTGCCTCAGATACCCATGGCAGCCAGCTGTATGTGCTCACAGATCAGGAGCAGCTGCCAGATGTCTTGATATTCGACAGGACCAAGAGCAGCTGTTTAAGGGGTTGTTAAGGTTCATGGGTTCCAGGCATTCCCTGGATTTCGTTTTCTTCTTGGCTGATAAACAAGGAGAATGGAGTAACTGTCCTTTCCCTTTCCGGGTGAGGGGGGCGTCCTGGCGTGGAAGGACTGGCCTCGTCCTTCCTGTGCCTTTCTGTTATCTCCTGGTTTGTGCTTTAATATTGTGCTTTTATATTTGTCATGGACTGCCAGCTGTGATGATTAAAGCATTCCTCCAAATGATCTTTTTCTTTATTTCTATTAGGTCCATACTAGAGTTGTCAGTGAGTTGTATCCTCCAAAATGGGAAAGGAAAGGAATGACTCATGTGAGTGTTAGTGGGAATATTGTTTGAATGTTAAGAAGAAAATCCACAAATATATCAGAGAAGACATAATACAGTCTCCTCCAATAAAGACCCAGCATGAGGGAGACAAAGTCGCTCTAGGGACTGAACCTATGAACTGACTAGAGTTTATATTCTTTTGTACAATCATGGGCAGTATTACTATTGTGAACAAGCAGGCTTCGAGACTATATTTTTGTCTTAGAATTAACCACTCATCTGTCGATGCTGCTGGTGGTTGCTCATAATACAACAGGCTCACAAAGGCCAGCGATGGGCCTGCACATACTAGACAAATCTCATGGGTCTATTCAGCAGTTAGAACTTACTCAAAGATAAGCCTGATGTTACTAGCCTTTCTCGGTTTTAGAGTCTCAGTCCCATCACCAAAGACACTGATTTTATTGACACTAAAGACTTCTACACACTAGTGGTAGTAAATCTGGCATGCTTAGCGCTGAGATCACCTTACAAAGGAGAGCCACTGAAAATGGCAAAGCAGCACTGTTAGGACTGCTGCTCATGTACGCGAAGATGACCACTCATTCGAGTGAACCACAGAGAGGAGTGGCTTATTACAGAGGTGAAGGACAGGCTTTCTGTGTCCAGGCTCCTTCTTAACTGCTTGTTTGCACCATGACCTTGGGCAAGTAACTTCTCTGAACCTCATTGGTTAGCAGCAAGTGATGAGAGTATCTACTTAACTGGTTTCCTTTTGGACTGTGACATGATCTCAGCAGTAGTAAATCCTTTAACTAAGACACTGGCACGTAAGTGCACCATAAATGTTTAGCTGTGGGAATTATCATTTTATATTATGATTAGTCAAGGCTCTGACAGGCAGGGACCTTTTCTTAACATTTCATAAGGCCTGCCAATAATCAGCGATGTGACCACGTGACTTCCATCAAGCCATTTAACATCACAAGGCCTTATTACTCTCATGTTTAAAATGAGACAATTTGGATAGATGCTTTCTATTGAATATTCCCTGAATCTGACTTGAGGAGTTTTCATTCAGCTTTGACTACCTGGAAAAGAAAATGTGGCACTTTAAAGAGAGATGAGACTAAGGGAATAGCACACACACACACACACACACACACACACACACACACACACACACGACCCTCTTGTTCCATGATAACTTTTTTCTCAGCTGATGTAATTGTTGGCTTTTTTTCTAAAGTTTCCCCCTAAAAAGTCCAGATGCTATGATTTCATCAACCACAAACAAATGGGGCAGGGCTGGCGAGGTCCTGAGAAAATGAACCATTCCTGGAAAACAAAGTTTATATTCTAACTAGTTGTCCCAAAAGGACTAGATGGACTCATACCTGTGAGCACCATGAAACCAAACAATCTGTGGTTGTGGCATTTTCATTTGGCTTAGTAATATTTTTAAACTATTAACACCAGATAAATTACTTTTACTTATTCTGCCTTTGAATTTCTTTTGAGACATTGATCAACTATGATTGTTCATTCTCTGAGTCCACAGAGAACATGCTTGGCCACTGACATGATGACTATCTCCAAGTGACACTATTTTCAAACATTCAACTGTTTTCTGGCCAAAGACCAATCTAAAGATTACAAAGTAAATCAGCCATTCTTTTCTGGTTTGGGCAGTAACTCAAAAGTGAATTTTCTCTCACAGTTTAAGAGATAAGTATCCTTTCATAAAAAATTACCAGCCTATAAGGACTTCCTCATGGCTGAACACTTGGACTTGTGAGTGGCATGGAGTTCAATGCTTCCACTCATCTGTCCTGAATGAGATAACTTTGAAGTATAGGAACCACCTGAAGGGGAAAGGGGGGAAGGCATGTTGTTGCAGAAAGTCAGGAACTGAGAGAATTATGCTACTTACTTTTTAAAGTATTAACTTAGTAAGAAAAGAATCATGTTATGATATATACATCCAGAAAGGGATGTTGTACAAAATAATATTTTAGCATGTACTTCTATTATGATGACAACTCAGAACTATTTCATGGCAGGTATGGTCTAGGTACTAACCACAGCCATCAGGATGGTGGGTCTGGTGGTGCTCAAGGGCCAAGAGCAAAGTTATTTACAAACTTGTACATAAACATCTTAGTATCATGACAATCAGTATGGCACAGTAATGGTACACCGAGGCTCTAAATGTGAGAAACTTCCAGCTACAAGTGTGATCAAGGGTCAATATCTGGACCTGAGTGGAAATAAGATCCCAATACCATACAATCCCTACTCTTGCATTATGTTAATTCTTTATTTTATTATTATCTATCATCATCATTATTAGGCTATGTGTATGTATTTATGCACAGGGGCCATAGTATGAGTGTAGAGGTCAGAGGTCAACTTGGCTTTTGCGGGAGTTCTGAGGATCTAACTCAGGTCATCATGTTACTGGAATTTTGGGGACCCTTTCATAGTGGCCTCATGAAACAGGGGGAACCAAGGTCACTTCTTGGGGATCTTAGTCTCAATAATATAATTTAAGAATGATTCAAACAAAAGCTCAAGGACAATTTTATTAGAGCTAAAAAAACAAATTAGAGCAGATAAGTTGCGAACCTCAGCAGCTACTTGAAGGAGCAGAATGGAGGAGGGAAGGAAGAAGCCATGCCCTTTAAACGAGTGTGGAAGTCGGACATACGGTGGGAAAGCAGCCACTTGGTGGGAAGGATGCTTTAGAGAAAGAGTAAGAGAGCCTCCAAACGCTGGGGAAGCTCCAAATGTTGGGGAGAGCATACTTTTAAAAGAGACTGAAGGAAGCATGGCCATGTCCAGGTAAGCTACTGCACTGTGAGTTGGGGATTCTGGGAAGGAAAGGCACAGCATCTCATTAAAAAGAAAATTATTTCACCTATTGCTTTAGCATGACTTAGGTGAGTCCACCTTCCAAGGGGTGGTCCCTTGGCCTGGCCTAGCTGGGACATTAGGTCTCTACTCAGGACAGAGAGCCTGTTCTCTTGATGAGAACAAGGTTTCTCCCAATGAGGCTTTAGTGTTACCCAGACAAACAGGCTCAGACTGTAAGCACTTTTATCCCCTGAGCCATCTTGCAGGTCCATGCTAATTCCTTTGTAGCAAATAACAGGTATTTATTGTCTCTTAGTTCATGAGGTCAGAAGTCTGAAATCACAGATTTGGCAAGGTTTGTTTCTTCTGAGAGCCGAGAGCAAATGATGTGTCCCAGGCCTTCTCCTGGACTATTTTCTCCTGTACACGACTATTTCCAGGGTCCATGACCTTCTCCTTATATTTGTGTCTCTGTTTAAAATTTTCCTGTTTTATAAGGACATTAATAATTTTGGACCAGGAGCTAACCTAATGACTTTTCCTTAAATTAATCACATCTTTATGACACTCTTTCCAAATAAGGTTACATTCTGAGGGACTGGGGATTGGGATTTGGCATATGAATTAAGGGGAGGACACAGCTCAACCCTAATGTCACTGTTCATGCACAGTGCTGCCTGTGTCTCCTCTCGATCAGAGATATGTACAGCACACTGCAAGCACAACAGAGTCCTACGAATATCCTTTATTCTGACATGCCATGCGTTGTTGACATCAGATAGACACTTAGATTTATAGAGTTATGGTCTTTAGTGGTTGAGCAAACATGAATTTTCAAATGAACTTGGATTGAAAAGCACACAAGAATGTGATAAATGAAGCTCAACTTTGAACAATCCTTATGTATTTACTGTTAAGATAATGTTGTCTGATAGACTGATCCTGAAAAGTCAGTTCATGTTTTTTGAAACAGGATGTTTTAGGAGAACCTGTAACTCTGTGACGTACGTAGACAAATTCTGGTTAGGTACAGGATGTTTTAGGGGAACCTGTAACTCTGTGATGTAGGCAGACAAATTCTGATGAGGTACAGAATGTTTTCAGGAAACCTCTAACTCTGTGGTGCAGGTAGACAAATTCTGATCAGGTACAGGATGTTTTGGGGGAAACTGTAACTCTGTAATGTAGGTAGACAAATTGTAACTAGGTAAGAGCAAACAGGTAGACTCATCCCTACAGAAATTTGCTGTGATGCAGAGTGAAGGCACAGACTGTAAGAAATCTACCACAGTGAGCTATAAAACTCAGGAGTACAGGATTGTGTCCCAGAGAATAAAATTCAGAACTGAACCCCCAAAACCAGACTAACTAAGCTTGCTATTTGACTCAACAAAGAGGATCCAAATTCCAAAATAACCAGCAGATATTGCCAAGAGTTCACAGTGTGCTGGAACCCTGGGATGACAATGCAGACACTAAATTTCAGTGACATATGTATAAATTAATTGCTCTGATAAAAGCCAGACTGTTCCCAGGAGTTGTAATTAGTATTCATAGCCATAGATAGCTCTAAAATCCCTGTCTCAGAGTTTTCATATTAGACCTGCTTGTCCTAATTTCCTCCTTCACTTCCTCTTTTCTTTACTCCTTCCCTTCATTTTACTCCACCATAAATACCAACCATGTATTTGCTGTATACAGTGAGACATAGCTTTCCTGTTTCAATGAAAACATTACTAATGTTTAGTTCAACATCTCCATGTGTCAGTTTTTGATAACACAACAGAACAGTAATAGTATTATGGCAAAGATTCATGTTGAACATCAAAAAGTTATGCATGGCAAAGCATGGTGGTGCTTGCCTCCAACCTAGCACTAGGGAGGCAAAAGCAGGATTGGTATGTTTGAGGTCAGCCGTGGGGAGCAGAGAAAGAATCTGTCTCAGAAAACTCAAACCATACCAAACCAAACTGAAATGAGAGAGAACGGGAGGGGAGGGGGGAGGATGCAGGAAACTAAAGGAGATTGCCCATTTTAAAAGTTTAGCATAATATCTGGCACTAATTCTTCATTTTTTCTGCTTGCTTTCTTCTAGATAGAAGTCCTTGCTATCTCTTGTATTCATTCACAGACATTTTGCATTTTTAATAAAAGTATTACAAACTGGTAAATATATCAGTCATGGGAGCATACAGAAGGGAGAAAATGTTACTTTACTGTCAGTTGGTTAAGATTTCATATAAGTTTGGAAACATTCAAAAGTTGATGGTTACTCCTAGATGCCTTTTGCATTGGATGAGCAATATGCCACATGCCGTGGTTTCTGCTTTATATCAGCTAATTTTCACTAATCAAGGAAGAATTTATTGCACAACCAACTCGCACATATCACTAAACAAAGGGACAACAGTCTTCAGTGCTTTTCAAGCACATTAGAAGAAGCCATTTGATAAATTGCCTTTGATTCCAGGCATGTGGCAAGAGGAATATGAGGATTACAGTAATCTTGTGTAGCTGTTCCAACTCACCAAATGGATTTTGATCTTAGCTTTTCCGTTACTTGTCATCTAGTTAATCAATGAAGCATAACCAGATTATGTCATTTTAATCCCTTAGTAGATAGTTTAGTGGTGATAACATGACAAAAAAAAAGATGCTGTAACAATTGCCTTGCTCAAGGTAGCACGAATTAAAGGAAATGAGTGGTTCTAATGGGGTCTGGTTGTGAAGTAAGTATAAGCGACCACTGAGTGCGGGCTACATTCAGTGTAGCCAGATGCTCTGCAGCATTAAGTTTTTGCATATCAACTACAACAGCAAAGTAAAACAGTGAACTAAAGCCTTTTGTTGTTGTTCAGAAACCTCATCCATCTTCCTCAATGTGCTAACAACACTTGAGCTCATAGCCACTTCCTATTACATATATCAGCTTTCAGAAATATCATGACACATGGATCTGTTGGCTAATGACACTGGATTAATAATGGCTTTGCTCATGTTTGAGGAATAGAGTCCAAGGCAAATAGTCATTTAACTTCTCTCTCTTTCAGGAACTTCTGGGAGATTCTTGGAAGAATTACACTGCTGTTCTTTTTACCCATGCAGAAAAAATAGAAGAGGCAGGGATCAGTGAAGATGAATATTTGCACGAGGCTTCTGATACACTGTTAACTCTGCTAAATTCTGTTCGGCAGCGGTATGCTTTCCTGTATAAAAAAGGTAACTTGTGCAATGAACAAAGAATTCAAGTCTTAGAAAGAATCATGGAATTTATAAAAGAAAATCATTATCAAGTTCTTAGTTTTACATAAAATTTAAGTGAAAAGAAAAGAGCACTGGGTATCATTTAGGATATGGAAATCTGATTTTAAAATCTGCCTTTGTTCACATGAATATTGGAAATGAGAATTCCCTGTACTGCTGTATAGCCATTTTGGAAAATTGTAAATAAAAACTAATATCAAGGATTCAAGATGTCAAAATTATACTCATAAGTATTTATCTAACAGAAAGTGTACATTTGTGCCTTAAGATACATATACAAAAATGCTCATGGTGGCACCATTCATAATGGTTAAGAACTGAAAACTATCCAAATGTTCATTAATAGAATGATGTGCAAATTATAGTATATTAATACAGTGAGGTGTTACAGTAATGAAAATGAACAAACTCGGTTGTAACAGTAGAATCAACTGTTTAACTACAATGTCAAGAGAAAGAAGCCAGACATGAAATGTGCTTTGTGACTCCATTTATATAAAGCTCAGAAACAGTCAAAACTACCTAACTACTCTGAGGGTAGAAGTGCTGGGGATCAGGAGAGCAAAAGGATGCTGTGAGATAGCTTCAGAGATTTTGATAATGCTATTTCCTGGTTTGGATAAAGATTCATAGGGTGTGTACCCTGTGAAAATGGAGAAAATTTTCTTGTAGGTTATGAGCCCCTCACTATATTTTTTTATTAAGAAATTTTTTCATTCATTTTATACACCAATCAAAGATTCCCCCTTCCCTCCTCCCGCCCCCCCCCAGCCTCCCCTCCCAACCCATTCCCCACTCCCTCCCACAAGAAGGCAAGGCTTCCCATGTGGAGGCACATTTAGTAGAGGCAAGTCCACGCCCTTCCCCCTGCCTCAAGGGTGCATGAGGTGTTCCATCATAGGTAGTGGGCTCCACAAAGCCCACTCATTCACCAGAGATGGATTCTGAACCTACCGCCAGGGGGCCTCCCAAGCAGATCAAGCTACACAACTGTCTCACCATGCAAAGGGCCTAGTCCAGTCCCATGTAGGCTCTACAGCCATTGATCCAACTTTCATGAGTTCCCTCTAGTTTGTTTTGGTCATCCCTGTATGTTTCCCCATCATGATCCTGATGCACTTGCTCATAGAATCCCTCTTCTCTCTCTTTGACTGGACTCCTGGAGCTGTCTAGGGATTGGCTGTGGATCTCTGCATCTGCTTCCATCAGTCATTGGAGAAAAGTTCTGTGATGACAGTTAAGGTATTCATCGGTCTGATCTCTGGAGCAAGCCAGTTCAGTTCAGGCACTCTCTCCACTATTGCTAGTAGCCCAGGCTGGGGTCATCCTTGGGGATTCCTGGCAACTTCCCTAGCACCGGGCTTTTCTCTATCCCCATGATGTCTCTATCATAGTATCTCTCATTGCATTCCCCCTCTCTCCCTGTTCCAGTTCAACCATCCCATTCCCTTATGCTCTCATCCCCCATCCCCTACCCTCCATTGCCCACCCCTTATCCCCAGTTAACTCATGGAGATCTCATCTATTTCCCCTTCCCAGGGCAGTCCATGCATCCCTCTTTGGGTCTTCCCTGTTAGTTAGCTTCTCTGGAGTTGTGGATTGTTGCCTGATTACCCTTTGCTTTATATCTAGTATCCACTTATGAGTGGGTACATACCAATGTGGTGATATTTTATTTGTGCTGAAATGTGATATTTTATTTGTATGTTAATAAATAAAGTTTACCTGGAGATCAGAGGTCATAGCCATAAACAGAAGTCAGGCGTTGGTAGCCCATGCCCTTAATCTGATCACAGGGCAGGCAGAGTCTCTGTGTGGTCAAGGACACAGCCAAGCATGGTGACACACGCCTTTAATCCCAGTACCAACCATAGAGACCTGGAGGTCTGTATAGACAGGCAGTGATGAGGAAGTGATGTGGCTGGGCTTAGAGCCAATGAGAAGGTGGAACAGGAAGGCAATAAAGGCTCAGGTTAGACAGGAAGAAGCTCTCTCTTGGGAAGCTACATCGAGGTGGTAAGCTAAGGTTAGTTGGTGGCTATTGCTCTGGTCTCTACGGCTTGTACCTCTGTATTTGGCTCTGTGTTTCTTATTTAATAAGACTGTTTAGAAATTCATCTACATATCATGTTTGTCATTCTGAGTCTGGGTTACCTCACTCAGGATGGTATTTTCTAGTTCCATCCATTTGCCTGTAAATTTCATGATATCATTGTTTTTCTCTGCTGCATAGTACTCCATTGTGTTTATGTACCATATTTTCTCAATCCATTCTTCAGTTGAGGGGCATCTAGGTTGTTTCCAAGTTCTGGCTATTATGAATAATGCTATGAACATAGTTGAGCATGTGTCCTTGTGGTATGATTGAGTTTTCCTTGGGTCTATGCCCAAGAATGGTATAGCTGGGTCTTGAAGTGGATTGATTCCCAATTTTCTGAGAAACCACCATACTGATTTTCAGAGTGGCTGTACCAGTTTGCACTCCCACCAACAGTGGAGGAGTGTTCCCCTTGCTCCACATCCTCTCCAACATAAGCTGTCTGCGGTGCTTTTGATCTTAGCCATTCTGACAGGTGTAAGATAGTATCTCAGAGTTGTTTTGATTTGCATCTCCCTGATGATTAGGGATGCTGAGCAATTCCTTAAATGTCTTTTGGCCATTTGAAATTCTTCCTTTGAGAATTCTCTGTTTATCTCTATAGCCTATTTTTTAATTGGATTGTTTGTTATGAAAGGAAGGTCATGCACAGATGTAATGCAGACATCAAGAGACCATGGATGTCAGCCTAGATTAATATACCTAGCAAAACTTTCAATCACCATAGATGGAGTGAACAAGACATTCCAAGACAAAACTAGATTTAAACAATGCCCCCTCACTATATTTGAATACAAGTTAAAAATGAATGATTTTTCTTCATTTTCAAGAAATTAACATCACTGCTTACTTGATACAAGAGGCAGAAAATTGTACAACCTTGCCAGGGTATATTTCTTCTCTTAGTTGCTGCAACGATTACATAAATTGGTATGTGATAGACTCGGTGTTAGTTTTCCTTTCTGCTTTAGGGAGACCTGCTGGCCCTATTTAGGTTTAGAAATATTAAGGAAAACTCAGAGCAAGCTCTTCAGCAAATCCCTAGTAATTATCATAGCTGACTATAAATGCAATCTTGACTAAGGAAGGAGGTGAATCTTAAACCATTTGTCTCCATTGCTGTAAAGTATCAGGATGATTGGGCCACTTGAGAGAGATCTTCAGGGTGGTTTTAATACAGCAGTGATAATGAAAAGAAAGTAATTCTAGTTATCAAGAGCCAAGTCTATCACCAAGGCAGAATCATATCACCTTCATATGTGATCATATATGAATCTTCCCAGAAAGCCACTAATTTACAAGCTGTTTTCATAAAGTTAATTCATGTTTTTTTTTTTATTTTTCTTACTGTGATAACCTGTAGTAATTTCTATCTTAAACAGAATTATAATTGATGGGTTTTCTCCAAATGCAGTTCTCAAAAGGCTACTTTTATGCTCACTATTATTTGAATTCTAGCACAGATGGTGTTTATTAAATAAGTCATTAACTTCCTACTTGTTAGGTAGACAGCTAAAGATAGTGTCAGAGATTTAGCCTTAATTCTTTCCCATTATTTGATTATATTGCTGTCTTTATTATATTATAAGCAACCAGAATGACTTAATTATAATGGATGCTTAATTGATACATAAAATTTGTACATCTTTATAGTGTATTGTCAGAATTCAATGCGTGTTATATAATATGTAATGATAAAATCAGGATAATAAGCATTTGACCTCTTAAATTATCAGTCATTTTTAAAGGTTGGAAATTTTGCATTTCTCTAGTCGATTTTAAATACATCATAGACAAATTGGGAATATAATCTAGTAGTGTAGTTCTTGTCTAGCACAAGGCCCTTAGTCCAATCCTATCAGGAAAAAACCAAAACAATGAAATGAAATGATATTTGTGGGAAGAGGGGATTGAGAGGGGTAGTGGGAGGTGTGGGGTGAAAGTGATGGGCTACATTTCATGTATGTGTGACACATAGCAGCTTTAATAAAGAACAAAAAGGAAATGTGTAATAATTTACAATATTGTTATCTTGCACTAGATGAGAAGCACAAGGGATTTCTCAAAATCTGTGATTTGCTACATTCCTTGATACCTAGAAGTTCAAGTTTTCTGTGTTATTTTCCTTTTTTACAAGATTTCCTGATATTATCAGATTGTTTTTTCTAACACTTCCCTAAAATTATTTTGTAGTTTGGGTGTACAAGTATTTTGTCAAATAATATTCCATTACTAAATCAGCCCCTTTCATAAAGCACAAAGGATGTTTCTCCTCATTTTGCCTTTATTATTTGTTTTATGATACTGTTATTTCTTGTATTTTCACAGTTTCCTCTAATTTTGCTAATTTGATAATGTTACTATATCTGTGATGTTTAAGAAGTTCTACTGAAATTTATGTGAGTAACAGGAATCAGGTACATATTTCCTACCATTGTTTGATAACAAAGTAACAACTATTTGTTCAACCAAGAAATACCCCACTAGTCATACCTTTAACTAAGGGTTACTCCACCCCTGTGGAACCAACACCTGCAGGATGCCTTCATCCCCTCCCCATTATTTTCTCTTCTACCATCCTCTCACAGCAGATGGCTTAGGAATTTCCTTTCCCCATATAACTGGATTCTGCAGAGGCAACTAACTCAAGACTTCTTCTTGTGGGCTGTCCCTTTTGTCTCAAGGGCCATTTTATACCACTTTATCCTGATAGATTATCATTTTTTAAAAATTATTTATTAGGATGCACAATACTAAATTCCATTATGCATTTTCAAATAAAACTTGACTCTTCCCTTTCCCTCCACTCTTGACACCTCCTCAATACTAGAAACTCTAATCTTTACCATGCTCCCCCCTTGTCTTCGTCTTCCTCAATGTTTCTATTGAGTGTTTCCTCCAGCATACCCTGAATTCCTGCAAATTCAGTATTAATTCCAAGCATATCCTTGTATGCACTACTAGGTAACAGCAGTCCTGGGTCTTCAAAATAATCAGCATAAGGAATGGAGGGAAAGAATGTGTCCACAGGAATAGCGTAGTTGACTCTTATGAGTCATTGAAGTGAAAACTTCTGCTGCTGTGCTCGACCTGAGATTGAGTTGTGCAACTCTTTCTGGGATAGTTCATATATTTATCCACAAACTTAACCATTTCTGGAAATAATTGCAACTCACAAGAGACCCATGTGTGAAGGATTAGCTCTAGGCAAAATAAATGGTATCCTGATGGCTGTCCTTGGGTGTCCTGATGCCCCCCCCTTTTTTTTTTTTTAAGAGTCTGTTATTTGCAGTCTTCCCTCGTGTTCTCAGATGTCCAATCTGAACACTAGCCTCCTCTAGATAGCAACAAATTTCTGCTGAATTTCAGACTGGAAAGTTCTTTGAACAATGAAGATAACAGGATAGT